ATACAAGTCGCCAACTGGTCCAGCTCATTGTCTCGCAAATTCAAGAGTTGCGCCGTTGTCGCCATCTGTTTCCGCAGAGAGCCAGACGTAAGCGTTCTGGGAAACTTGGCGCCACATAAGTTTACGAACTTTCGGAGACAGGACAGTCGCTCCCTCGAAGTGCATTGTTGGCGCCGTTGGCGAACACGTATGGCACCTCGATCTTCAGCTCCTGCCGTTTCGCCAACATGAGCTGCACCACTTCTACCATCTCTTTGGTGTACAAGATCGGTACGCCTCTCTTTCGTTTCCCGCGGACCATAACCCGCTTTAGAGCAGCACCCAGGTGCTTCTCAAGCGGGCTCAAACATTCTGCCACGCCACTAAGGACGTTGGTCCTCAAGCTGTTCTCCCAGTCTTCCAGTCTCATTCTTCCCGCCTCACCTTGGCGCCTTCGGTTGAAGAGCATTATCCGTGCCAGGAGAGCTTCTCCCATGGTCTTGTACGTTGCCGGGGATGGGTTCTGTTGCAGCTTTCTCTTCGCGCTTTCCATCTCTTCATTCAAACAGCCTTGAAGTTTCTTGATGTCCTCAGCCATCGGGGTGAGGCGAGGCTTGTTCCAATTTCCATCCTTCAGCGTCTGCAGCGTGGGCCTGAACACCTGATCAGTCCACTCCATGGCCTCGTTTCATAAAAGGAATTACTTACGGCGTTCCGTCAATTATTCCAGATTTGGCGTATTTGATGCCAATTCGGTTTCATAAAGCCGGAGACTGGAGTAATTCACGCCATCGAAATTACGGAGCTTCATTTACGGCAAATGCTCGATTCCGGACCAATTGATGCCAGTTGGGTTTCATAAAACGACGTAATTAACGCCAAATATTTTATCAAGCTCTTGATATCAGTGGTGTAAACTACTGTAAACTACGCACAAAAATGTTGCGTGAATTTGAATAAATGTGAAGATTCGAAGCTAATTTTTAATATATTTTATAATGTTGAGCCCGGTGAGGAAGAAAGAACAGCCAAAATGAGAAAAAGAAACTGCAAATCCTGCAAATATTCTGTACCAGTCGCTTTTTGTGACCGCTATCGGAATTTTGTTTATTCGCCGCGCCGCGCCACTTTCGTAGTTAGGCACTTCTGCTTAGCTGGCTTTCTGCTGTTTTCAATATATTGATTTAATAAAGGATGGTCATTGTTCATCAATATTCATTTTGTTTTTCATAAATAATTTTTACGATTTAAATTCAACATCATTGTTTTATAATTTCTCGTAAAAAAAGTGTTGACATGAAATTGTAATTTGTAGGACGCTTGATAAATTACGGTAACTACGCAAATGTGCTTAGTTACGGAGGTGTAAACAATTCCAGTTGTGGCTTTGTGAAACGGCTTCATTTACGCTCCGTAGTTTGAAAGGGTGTGAATTACGGAAAGGTGTAAGTTACGGCAGAGCTTTATGAAACGATGCCCATATCGCGGAGTCTGAGAAACTGCTCCAGTGTTTCCGTGTTCGTTCCTCGCTCGATGGCTTTTGCCAGACAGATTTCAGTGTGGCACGGCTGAGAGTAGCCGGTTACCACTTGGACCGTTAGCAGTGCACACCGCTAGAAGTTCTCCTCTCGTTGTGAGAGGGAGTGTAAGGATTGTCAAGGCAGAGACTACCATCCGCCACCGTCGGCACCACACAACTCCAAGGGAGGAGGAGACTCCCGATGTGGGCCCGTGTCGGTAGCTCTGAGCTTGACTAGGATGAAACGAGTAACCGATCGTGGATCGTACTGATTTATTGAACAAAAATTGGCGCACTATATTTCTAGCAAGGCTACCTTGCATAGGTAGTTTCAGCGTCTAAATGGTAACGTTAGAAATTACAGTGACAGTTGGACAAAGAAAAATTACTCCACACCTGCGCTCCTAGATTACCCTCTTAAGGCGTGACAATACAACAGCTACGGTTACGAGAGATAACATATAAGGCAGCAAACAATCACAAGACATATGTGTCAATCAATCACTGACATCTGCGTGCATCAAAAGGATTTACTAGTTTACGACGCCGCCGCTGGGTTGCACACGCTACGGCGCCGCCGCTAGCAACGGAGCGCTGTTGCACACGCTACATCAGCACACTTATTTATGGAATGGCCGAGCTTCAGCGCTAGCGATGGCCTCCTCACGTCCTGCTCGTCGTAGCAGCACACTTGTTGGACCGCTCTGGTTACCACTTCGAACTTTCCCGGCGAAAAAAAGTCCCGGAGAGGTGCATCCTCAGTTTCCTTCAGCACCTGCAGGAGACACCCCACCTCTCGCAGCTTTTGGCTGACGTGCCGCATCTAGTGTACTTCTCCTCCCAATCGAGCCAACAGCTTCTCGCCGAAAGCCATTATTGTCGGATCAGTCTTGCACAGCAAGGTTACAGCGTCTTGTCGCATGGAGGCGATCACCTTACTCAGGCGGTGGTACACACCGCCTAAGGTGATCGGCGGCGCGGGCGGCGGCGGCGGCCGGCGCGTCACTGACGGGTTCCGCGGCGGCCGTGCTGTCCCAGAGGGCAGCGCGGGCGGAGCCGCCCGCGCGGGGCTAGCGTCTGCGAGTGGCCACAGATTAACACAGATTGGAACCCGAGCGTCGGCGCCTTTGATGTCGACGACCCCGCGCGCCAACGCCATCTATCGGCGGGGAAATCTTCACGTAGGAGATTCACGCACGCGGGCCGGCTCGCCCGTCACGTTAACACGGGCGAGCATGATGTCGCGGGTGACAAACGATTATTTTACGACGATGATGGCTAATGCACTTTTACAACTACACTCCGGTCACTGTATTATTATTTCCTCGCATACCTAGCCTTAAAGAGAGATGATTCTCGGCCCAATGGTAAGCTATACGGGTGCACCCAATCCTCCAGCGTGAATAACGCAACACTCGACTCGAGTTCCGTGCCGTGTATGTATTTGGACCCGGCGAGCAGCACCATCTCTCGAGCACATCACACACGCACGTATGTACTATTGCTTCCAAATTAAGCTTGATTCGCGTTTGGCTCTAGTACTGCATTGAATACCCTCCCGAGCCGCTCCCGTATCGCCAGGGTAGCTGTCCCGGTGAGGTGCGTGTCAGACTGAGGCAGTGCGTCGACCTTGTCACTGTCACTTGCGTCAGTCCGCGCCTGGGGCGGGGACACGGGTGTGACCTGTGATAATGGCGGGCACGTGAGCGTGACGCATAGCTGGGTCACATTCTATCAAATCAGGGACGATGAGAGCGCCGCAGTGCAGTGGTCAGGCAGATGACCGGGTGGGGAGCGCTGGTTGGGCTTGTTGCGGGCTAGAAAATATTGGGCACACTTGGTTACTTGAGTGCTACACGGACACGATTAGACTTTTCACATTTTTTGAAGCGAGGAATCAATTTATGTCTGAGCCGTCGCTGGCCGAGGAGATTGCCTTCCCCGACATTTTTTTTTTAACTGCACGAAGCATGCAGACAATAGTTTTTTTTTTCAGATTTTCGAGCTCTTTCGAATGCCGCTTACCACGTGTCGCACACGTGGCCCAGGAGCCGAGTTACTGTGGGGGTGGGGGTGGGGGGGGGTGCGACGTGGTTGGCGCCGAGCACCTGCCTGGCGCGGGTAAATAATTATCTGATAAATATTTATAATATATGTTACGATTATATTGGCATTATTGTTTTAAATAAAACTGTGGTTATGATTATTAAACGCAATATTAAAACTAGCGCAGTCAAAGCACCCCGCAGCAGAGCAAAAAAAAAACATCAGACACCGTCCAGGCCCGGGCCGGGGTCGGATCACTGTCCTCGCCTCACAGCGACTTCTGTTTCGACCGCTGGTCTCGCCCGCCGGCCACATGTGCCCTTGACCTTTGACCTACGATGCGTATCCTGGCTGAATTCCGTTCCGATCGCGCGTCCAGCTGCACCACGGTTGCGGCCGCGCGGGGCCCGTCTCTCGCCGGGCGCTGCGCCCGAGCCCCGGGTAATGCCTCTGACGCCAGAGGCGCCCGAGGCCAAAATCGCCGATCGCTGACCGACCACAGGTCACGTCCGCACCCCTACCCGCGCGTTTGAAACTCCCGGATGTCACAAGGCCCCGGATGTTAAACCTCTGGCCTACCGTGCACGGCTCGCCGAGCCGGTTATCTCGGTAAAACTCGGGCTTCGGTAGGGTATTCACTACAGCACTGGAGCGAAGTGAGGATCAAGCTTAATTTGGAAGCAATAATACGTACTTACACGCACACATAAGTACATACTCATCTACATACAAGCACACACGTAAGCATACACGCACACAGGCGCGCGCGCGCGGACCCGGCGACCACCACCATCTCTCGAGCACATCACACATGCACGTATGTACGTACTTACACGCACACACGTAAGTACATATTAACCCACATACACGTACGCACACACAGGCGCGCGCGCACGCACGTCAGCGCTCTATACACGGGAACTCACGACCACGTGTTTGCGACTCTTGCTGTTCTCGCCCGTCTTCACGTTCGTCATCCTCGCACAGATCCCGTGTAGCTGCATTCGCAAGAACACAGCTACGGCCCCATCGACGGCCTTCTGGCAGCACACATTGCTCACCAGATCCTGGTAGGGCTGCGTCGCCTCGACACAGGCTCGCAGGCTGCTCAGCACGCCGTGTCCGCACAGCGCACTGACCGCTTGCGTCTCGGTGATTTCGAACATCATCTTGGTTGTCTCGTACAGCGCAGATGACGGCACCTGGAGGCTGCCTACTTCTACGTCGCTTTCACCCGTGAACTTCTTTAGCCCGATCAGGGCTTCGCGGTCGCACGTCACAAACGCGGTGTCTTTTGTCAGAACAGACATGCACGCGGGACATGCCTTCATTTTACGCGCCCTGTACGCTAAGTAGCCGGCGATGTAAGTGAGCACGTTTTCTGTGACAATGTCCACATGTGGCCCCATCACCACATGTGGCCCCATGTGTTAATCTGTGGAGTGGCGGAGCGGCCTCAGGCACCACGTGGTCCGAGCGGCGGCGCTCCGCTCGGCGCCTGGCTCGGTAGCGGCGGCGGCGCGCCGCCCGGCCCGGAGACGCGGCCGGCTCGCTGCCAGCAGTTGATGTCGAGTCCGACGAGCTGGAGCTGGGCGGCAGGTACAGCGTGGGCGCCGGGGACGGCGAGTCGGGCGATGAGTCCGAGCTGTCGGCCGACGGCTCCCTCCTCGCGCCGACGCCGGGACCGCGCAGCCAGAACCACGATGACGTCAGGTTGGGCGAGCGGCGGCCCCGGCGCGGTGTCGTAATCGACGCGCCGCCGACACAGTCCACTCCGTCAGAACGAGGGCGCGGGACCGGAGACGCCGACGAGGGGGGCCGCACCAGTGTCGTCCTGGCGACACACGGGGTCGTCTGCACCAGTGCGGACCCTGCTGGCTCCGTCGCGGGCGGCACGGGAGACACTAGCACAAGGCACGTCGGCACCGACTCGCGCGGCGTCGATTCTCGCGGCACTGCGGCGTCTGGGAGGCTCGCGGGCGGCACCGTCGCGTCGGAGGCACTCGCGGGCGGCACTGACGCGACGGAGGAACTCGCGGGCGGCACTGTCACGTTATCACTCACACGTTCCGCTCGGTGCGGCGACAGGGCGTCCACAGGGCCGCCGTCACAGGCGGGAAGATCCTCGTGTAGCGGCGACGATTGAACTGTCTTGGATGATGAGTCCGGCGACGGCGAGGTCTCTGGAAACACCAGAGGCGGCGACCGCGGCGGCTGCGACGTCTGGGTCGGCGACCACCACCGCTCGGGCAGCGGCCCAGGCGACGGCAGCGGCGAGAGCCGATCCTCCTCGGGTGCCGGCGGCGGTGTCCGCTCCCGTGGCGGCGTCGGTGTCGGCCCCCGTGGCGGCGTCGGTGTCGGCCCCGGTGATGGCGTCGGTGTCGGCTCCGGCGGCGGCGGTGGCGTCGGCTCCGGTGGCGGCGTCGGCCGGCCCTGGCCAGGTGGCGGCGGCGGAGGGCTCAGCGACAGGTCCAGCTCCGGGCTCGTCGGTGTCGCCGGTCTTGCAGGGGCGCCGGCGGCGGGGGCCGTCTCGGCACGGAGCCGCGCCAGCGCAGCGGCCCAGTCGGTGGGCTGCGGCGGGGCGGGCGGCGGCCGGCGCGGGCAGCGGGCGCGGTGGTTGAGCACGCCACGGCGGGTCGTAAACCACTTCCGGCACCAGTGGCACTCCTGCTTGAACGCTGACGCCGCGTCCGGGACCGGGCGGTTCAGAGGGCCGAGGGGGCATCTGTGGGCCGAGACCTTACGGGCAAGTCTGGCTCCACAGGCCGCACAACGCCACTCCGACCCGGTCACCGACGTTCCAGGGTGGAAGTCGGTCCGCAGGTGCCGTAGGAGGCTGTGCCGGACGGCGGTCTGCACCTGGTTGGCGTATGACCGAGGGCACCCCGCCACCGGGCAGTGCACGTGCAGCGGCAGCGGGCTGGGCAGCACGAGCAGCTGGCCCTCGAGCCACGGCTGCTGAAGAGCTGCCGGGCCCGGCGAGGGAGAAGAGGCGCCTGCGGCGGGCACCCGGCCAGACGAGGCCGGAGGTGACACCATCTCCAGGCAGGAGAGGTGGAGCCCAGCAGGGCAAGGAGAGGATTTGGCAAAGAAGGAATAAGCGAGACCTAACCCTTACCCCGACATCCGCCTCTCCTGTCGCCGCACAATGTGGAGGGGAAGTTCCGTGAGCGGGCCAGAGTCGCCGGGGCAGGTACTAGGTCAAGGATGGGGCACGCTCTCGCCAATTAAGCTGATAAGAACAGATTTTTTAGCGTAATAGATCATGTTTTAGCGGCGTGCTTTGTAAAAGAAAGGTAGCCAACCAAAAGCATGTCTATCCCGACCAATGAGCCGCGATCATGTGCAAATACCGGGGGAATGCCCCACAGATACTACACTTTGATCTTAGCCAAAAGGCCGAGAAGCGATACTTAAGCACAACACTTTAAGATACTTATGCAGTTAAGGGATAACTATTAGTACTAGTAACGATGCAGAGCTATAACGTGAGCGCTAGTGGCCACGGCGAGTGATAAGAGTGGTCCATTATGTTACATTCAAAGTATACGCAGTTTCAGTTTATCCTCACCATGGTAAGTATCTGTAAGCACAAAAGATCGCCAAACTCGAAATAATTTCGAATTAGTGGCTCTCGACCGTGCGTTTGTACACACGCAAATGGAGACGGCGGCGCCGCGCCGACAGTTATCAGTCGTGCGACATCAGATGGCAGCACAGTCGAACACCACGACGTATGGCAGCGCTCTACCCCCCCCCCCCCCCCAGCTCTACCCCCCCCCCTAGCTGCATGCAGACAAAAGCATGCATCGCAAAAGTACGTATTGCACATGTACGTCAGCAAAAGTACTGATTAATCATGTACGTAACGAATAAGGCACGTATCGACAAAAATGTATCTTAATAGTAGTTAATGGCCATTTTCACGACGGTCTATCCGGCGAATGCACCTGATGTGATCAAATCTGCACGTACTTTCTTTTACAGCAAATAGCTTCATTTTATGAATTTATTACAGTGTTTTAATCGATGATGCTCTCTGAAAATATGACAAAGCAGGCATATAAGAAATTAGTGCATATCAGCTAGTAGTGCTAGCTGATAGCTGCAAAGAGGACACACTGAACCTGATTTGACCAATTCTGCACTTTATCTGTACCACCTGTGCATCAAATGTGTACCAGATGGCCGTCGTGAAAACGGCTAATATGAATAAATAAAGCATTTGTCAGGACCTTACCAAAGCACAGATGTAAGGAATGTCGATAGATACTGCTATTTTTCCAGTTACTTTTTTCATTTCGATATACGATTGCACGCCTCACGCTATAGCAAAACTAATACAAAGAGAAAAGTTTTAAAAACATATGATGCTTTACGTAAGGCAAAGCTGTCGTCACCCACAACTTCCCACACGCTTCCCCACTGTCCATCACAGATACCGAATGAATAGTGATAAAGATGTCAGCTTTACAGGTACCTCAGTTAGATGATGATGCACCGTCTTTACTGAGTTTCACCAGATAGAGCGGCCTTGCCAGTCACATTTTAGGACGCCGATGCACCGTGTACTTGAAAGATGTCGATTGTCTGGGAACAAAATAAATGCGTGAATTAATTCGCCTATTGTAGCGGTTATCGTGGCTCGGGTCGGGGGCGGCACGTAGTAGCGGAATTCGAGAAAAAAAAACGTCTATAATCATAATGATATTGATTGGGTCATTTTTCTTCATGACCTGAGATGACCTCAGGGACATTGAGGGGTCACAGGTACAATTTGCCGATACCCGCATTTTTCTTCCATTTAATATGAGCGTTTGTCTATGACCGTGATCAAAAAGAGGTGTGTTTTCATGTTTTGTCCATTTTTATAGTCAGATATCTTAAAAGTATCTTTATCCTTTTATTTCACTACATATCACAACGCATGATAACAAAAGTGGGCCGATCCTGGCTGTAGTGCAATGCCAGGCCAACCCGCGGCAGGGCTGGAGCAAGCTCCAAAAACCCCGCCAAAGTCCAAAAATCAGTTTAATATTCTGGTCCCCATGTAGGGGACGTATCAGATATTAAGCTGATAAGAACAGATTTTTTAGCGTAATAGATCATGTTTTAGCGGCGTGCTTTGTAAAAGAAAGGTAGCCAACCAAAAGCATGTCTATCCCGACCAATGAGCCGCGATCATGTGCAAATACCGGGGGAATGCCCCACAGATACTACACTTTGATCTTAGCCAAAAGGCCGAGAAGCGATACTTAAGCACAACACTTTAAGATACTTATGCAGTTAAGGGATAACTATTAGTACTAGTAACGATGCAGAGCTATAACGTGAGCGCTAGTGGCCACGGCGAGTGATAAGAGTGGTCCATTATGTTACATTCAAAGTATACGCAGTTTCAGTTTATCCTCACCATGGTAAGTATCTGTAAGCACAAAAGATCGCCAAACTCGAAATAATTTCGAATTAGTGGCTCTCGACCGTGCGTTTGTACACACGCAAATGGAGACGGCGGCGCCGCGCCGACAGTTATCAGTCGTGCGACATCAGATGGCAGCACAGTCGAACACCACGACGTATGGCAGCGCTCTACCCCCCCCCCCCCCCCCCCCAGCTCTACCCCCCCCCCCTAGCTGCATGCAGACAAAAGCATGCATCGCAAAAGTACGTATTGCACATGTACGTCAGCAAAAGTACTGATTAATCATGTACGTAACGAATAAGGCACGTATCGACAAAAATGTATCTTAATAGTAGTTAATGGCCATTTTCACGACGGTCTATCCGGCGAATGCACCTGATGTGATCAAATCTGCACGTACTTTCTTTTACAGCAAATAGCTTCATTTTATGAATTTATTAGTGTTTTAATCGATGATGCTCTCTGAAAATATGACAAAGCAGGCATATAAGAAATTAGTGCATATCAGCTAGTAGTGCTAGCTGATAGCTGCAAAGAGGACACACTGAACCTGATTTGACCAATTCTGCACTTTATCTGTACCACCTGTGCATCAAATGTGTACCAGATGGCCGTCGTGAAAACGGCTAATATGAATAAATAAAGCATTTGTCAGGACCTTACCAAAGCACAGATGTAAGGAATGTCGATAGATACTGCTATTTTTCCAGTTACTTTTTTCATTTCGATATACGATTGCACGCCTCACGCTATAGCAAAACTAATACAAAGAGAAAAGTTTTAAAAACATATGATGCTTTACGTAAGGCAAAGCTGTCGTCACCCACAACTTCCCACACGCTTCCCCACTGTCCATCACAGATACCGAATGAATAGTGATAAAGATGTCAGCTTTACAGGTACCTCAGTTAGATGATGATGCACCGTCTTTACTGAGTTTCACCAGATAGAGCGGCCTTGCCAGTCACATTTTAGGACGCCGATGCACCGTGTACTTGAAAGATGTCGATTGTCTGGGAACAAAATAAATGCGTGAATTAATTCGCCTATTGTAGCGGTTATCGTGGCTCGGGTCGGGGGCGGCACGTAGTAGCGGAATTCGAGAAAAAAAAAACGTCTATAATCATAATGATATTGATTGGGTCATTTTTCTTCATGACCTGAGATGACCTCAGGGACATTGAGGGGTCACAGGTACAATTTGCCGATACCCGCATTTTTCTTCCATTTAATATGAGCGTTTGTCTATGACCGTGATCAAAAAGAGGTGTGTTTTCATGTTTTGTCCATTTTTATTGTCAGATATCTTAAAAGTATCTTTATCCTTTTATTTCACTACATATCACAACGCATGATAACAAAAGTGGGCCGATCCTGGTTGTAGTGCAATGCCAGGCCAACCCGCGGCAGGGCTGGAGCAAGCTCCAAAAACCCCGCCAAAGTCCAAAAATCAGTTTAATATTCTGGTCCCCATGTAGGGGACGTATCAGATATTAAGCTGATAAGAACAGAGGTGTGTATATAAGTGCATGTTGGTGGCATGGGTTTGAGAAAGGTAAGCCAACCAAGAGCAAATATATCCCGACCTAGTGGTTTCAGACCGGTGTGCAAATATCCGGGGCCATGACCCGCCCCCCGCCCCCAAAGGGCGGCGGCCCTGGAGGTGACCAGGCTCCGTACAGATACTACACTTTGATCTTAGCCAAAAGGCCGAGAAGCGATACTTAAGCACAACACTTTAAGATACTTATGCAGTTAAGGGATAACTATTAGTACTAGTAACGATGCAGAGCTATAACGTGAGCGCTAGTGGCCACGGCGAGTGATAAGAGTGGTCCATTATGTTACATTCAAAGTATACGCAGTTTCAGTTTATCCTCACCATGGTAAGTATCTGTAAGCACAAAAGATCGCCAAACTCGAAATAATTTCGAATTAGTGGCTCTCGACCGTGCGTTTGTACACACGCAAATGGAGACGGCGGCGCCGCGCCGACAGTTATCAGTCGTGCGACATCAGATGGCAGCACAGTCGAACACCACGACGTATGGCAGCGCTCTACCCCCCCCCCCCCAGCTCTACCCCCCCCCCCCCTAGCTGCATGCAGACAAAAGCATGCATCGCAAAAGTACGTATTGCACATGTACGTCAGCAAAAGTACTGATTAATCATGTACGTAACGAATAAGGCACGTATCGACAAAAATGTATCTTAATAGTAGTTAATGGCCATTTTCACGACGGTCTATCCGGCGAATGCACCTGATGTGATCAAATCTGCACGTACTTTCTTTTACAGCAAATAGCTTCATTTTATGAATTTATTAGTGTTTTAATCGATGATGCTCTCTGAAAATATGACAAAGCAGGCATATAAGAAATTAGTGCATATCAGCTAGTAGTGCTAGCTGATAGCTGCAAAGAGGACACACTGAACCTGATTTGACCAATTCTGCACTTTATCTGTACCACCTGTGCATCAAATGTGTACCAGATGGCCGTCGTGAAAACGGCTAATATGAATAAATAAAGCATTTGTCAGGACCTTACCAAAGCACAGATGTAAGGAATGTCGATAGATACTGCTATTTTTCCAGTTACTTTTTTCATTTCGATAT